ATTCCAGTTCTTTGGGTTGAAAAATGCCCTATTAGCCTCCATTAGAAACTCCATGAGGGGCTGGTCCTGCCTTGCTAAGAGCACAGGTGCTCATGCAAGAGCAGGCAAAAATAAACCTCAACTTTGACGCCCCTTGAAAGTATTTCTGGATGCAGAACAATAAAAAGCAGCAGTTGGAGGCTGCAGGGAGGAGGCTCACCCAATATATTTTAAAATACTAATTAATATATTTAAGAACATTAATGTAGAAAGGGCAAGTTGAAGCTAGGGGGAAATGCAATGTTTTGCATTTCTCATGAAGGGCATTCCGCATTAAAATGGGGTTAATTTTCTAAAAATCTCACGGATGCAAAGATCTTTGCTTGCAATTCTGGTACGGAATCGCCAACTCCATTGCACAACACATCAGAGTTAGGCTCCTTAGAAGCACACAAGAAGATTTTCCTGGTGAAAATTAGCTCAAATTCCTTATRGGTAAAAGCACCCGTCAGCACTAAACCAGCTGCAGGGGTCGATGGGGACCCGCTGTTGAACGGATGGGTGCTCATGGAGGGGACCTCGCCGAGCTCCACAAAGGACCTTGGGACGCAAGGAGCACAAAGGAGAGCGTGGTTAGATGTCAGGAAACCTCTTCCCAGGCAAGGAGCTCAGCCGTGGGAACAGGCTGTCCATGGAAGCGGCAGGAGCTCCGTGTTTAATGGCAAACAGCCTTGACTYGGCCGCATCCCTGAGCAACATAATCTGGTTTCCAAGCTGGACCGCACTTCTGAACCAGCCCTGTTTGGATCCAGGGTTTAGAGCACGTGAATTCCAGAGCTCCCTTCCAACTTCAAATAATTGATAACGCTAAAAAAAACCCAGAAAATACAGGCAACTTATGCAATAAAACCAGCAGTGTTCCGATAATACAAAGCTATTTCAAACGGAAGAAAACCTGGGTTCTGCCAAGGAGAATAAGGACGGCTGAGATCAAAGCCCCAAACCTCAAAGAGAAATCCCCAAAACTCAAAGAAAATACCCCATTAGGCTGCGAGCGTTGCCAGTGATCGGCATGAAAAACTATCAAAAATTCTGATAAGTGATTTTCCCGATCACGATTTTCACAGAAAGTGTAATCTCCTTCACGGGGAGGGAGAATGCAACGTGCTCTATGTTGTATGCAAATCCTAAAGCTGGCAAAATACTGAAATCAAGGAAAATATGTATCTTAAATATGTTTAGGTTTCTAACTTTTCGTAGACTATGGTACTGTGTTTTCCATTAAACAGCCTGAACTTTTTTAATGTGTATTTATGCAATCTTGGTAGGAGCGCATACGACGCGACAGAAGCAGGCGCTCAGCATCAGTGGGTGACAGAATAAACACGAAAGTTAAGAAATCTGCTGGCATATTCATGAAAAATAAACTCACCAGATGGTTATGTAGATATTAGGGGAAAATAAAACAGCAATTTTGAAAAAAAAAAAAAAAAAAAAAAAAACGCGCATTTCGGACAAAAAGGCAGACTACATTTGCAGAACAGGGCTGCATTTGCAGCTCCCCTATTTCCTTTGCAAAGAAGGCTCGTGGGGACAAGCAGGACACTGTGGCAGCAGCAGATGCACCCTGGACGTTATCAAACAGAGAGACAGGGCAGCAGAGAAAGACAARCAATCCCGGTGCTTTGAAGGGGAACACTGTTTTAGGAGAAATTTGAAATAAAGCACCAATATTGGAGAGGACAACTCTTCAAGAAATGGTATATTGGTGTAGTTTCAGGAAATGCTCTATCAAGATAGAGGTATATCTTCAAGAAATGCTATATCAGGATATAGGTATATCTTCAAGAAGTGCTATATGCGTGACTTGCTCATCTAGGCACCATCAGCAGCTGCTCCCCGTTGAGCTGGTGACCAAGGCTCTCGGACAACACAACCAGAGGAAACCTCAATATATACATAATGCTTTGGGATCTTTTTTTCTTAAAAGTAGGCTTTCTGAGTCCTTCCATATTCAGCTTTCTGGTAGAAAGCTCCCCGTCTCTCCTTTGTAATTTACCTAAAACRAGTTCCATTTGACACGCAGGGTCAAGAAAGAAGGCCGTGCTTTTKCAGCACCTCATTTTTTTGCCTCCACTGCAATGGACATATTTTGCCCCATTTTACCCCCCAGATGCCCACAGCAGCAGTGGCCGAATCAGGAACATCATTTTGGACAGGTCACTGCTTCCCTGGGGAGGAAAMACATCCAGGATCAATCCCAAACTCTTCCCAACCGGGTCCCGGCAGCACTGATGGAGGGCAGCAGCTCGGCTGCTTCCTTGCAGCACACAGGCAGTGCAGAACCCATTGTCCAAAACTTGGCAATTCCTATCCTTTTTTCTCCAATAGTTGCACTAATTCTCTTGCTCTTTTAGATGTTTTTGAATCTGCCAAGGGTCATTCTACTAGAAACGGGATCACAGAAGTTGGATGTGCAAATAACCAAATTAAATGACCTGCGAGGTGMGCGACACGCGAGCTAAAAATGCATTAACAGCTGCTGACAGAGAGCACTCCATGCCTCACCCCGGCGGGAGGCAAGTGGCTGGGCGATATTCTTGAAATACTCARTTAAGACCCAATTAAGACACCGTAAAGACCTTTTTTTTGGTGGTGAGGATTCCCTTCTGTGGTTTTTGCAACACAACACTATCAGCTGACGTGCAGAGCTATATTTTTCTGTAGACGTATGGAGCTGTAAACTATTATTTTCTCCTGCAGATTTTAATGAGTTTAAAAACATGGAAGAAAGCACAGAGCAAATAAATAGGAAAATATGAACTGGTTCAGACTCATCACAACCCACTGCTCTCCCTGCAGAAAACCCAAGTCCAAAGCTGGGCGACCAGAGCTCCTCAGCACATCTTGACCCAGACACGAGTCCCAGCCCACAAGGAGCACAGTCCCCCTTGCCTTGGGGCTGCCATAAGCCTTTTATTTAGGGAAAACAAAACTTCAGCTCTGAACTGAACCATGGCATTATATAGTCTTAAAAAATTACTACCTGCAAGTGCAATTTAGCAGAGAAAAACAGAACAACTATAGTCTATTAAATCAGATCCAACCCCCCTCTCTGCAGAGGATGAAAACAAGTGCTATAAAAGTTGACAAATATTTGCAATTATAAACTGGTAAAAACCACACAGCTACGTGGTAAAAAAGCTATGCTTTTCTAAAGAAGCTAAGTAATGGAATACATTCTAGCTATTTCTTCTTTCATATAACATTAAGGACCTTCTCTGCTCTTTACAAAAGCAAGAGTGAACCRAGAGGGTTTTCCCACCCCGAGATGAGGTTTCTTGCTGCCCCCTCTCCACTCTTGGGCAAGCTGGCCTCCAGCTACCAACAAAACCAAGGAGGATGGAGAGAAGCACCAGGTGATCAAAGCCCCAGAGCATTTGGAAGGGCTGGGGTGGCACCGATACCAKCAAACCTTGAGAGGCTGAGAGACGTTCATGTGTGAACTCCCTGGCAGGAGAACTCCCTGGTTCAAGGGATCGAATCCTTAGGATTGCACCTCGCTSAATACGCATGAAAACGGAGTCCTTGGAATTAAGGGAATTAGACCCTTCATTTCCACTCTTCTCTACAGCATGTGCCTCACTTCAACTATACGGAAAGACCGACGACACTTTGCTCAGGATTCTGGGGGGCACGAAGCAAATCTGCTTGCTTTATTGCACATACAGCACTGCTGGCAAACCCAGGAGCCCATTTCCAGCGKGCTCAAAGCCACCAGCGCCAAGGCACTTAATTAAAACCTACAATGAGGTCACACGAAGGGGCAGCAACGCTCCTGCCAAAGGCCCGCAAAGCCCACAGCAAAACGAGCACCAACACGGAGCCAGTGCCCCGGGCAYCCACAACCGCCCACGTGCGAGGCTCAGAGCCACTGCTAATATTAGACAGCATTAAGGAGCATGTAAATAAAGCCTTTAAGTAACATTGTTTTGTTGACATAGATTAACCTGTAACAAATAAGAAAACATCCAATCAAGTTCTGTGTAAAACGCTACATTGCTCAGTACTTTCACACATTAATAGGGTAGAAAAATAGTAGAGTAGAAAAYACAGGCAAAGTTCGGGCTAATTCCCCTAAACATGTTCTGTTTCACTTCTGTTAACAAGACACTCTTAAGAAAAGAGCTTGTTTCAAACCATGAATTTTTCAGAGAAACATTTATACCTTTGTATAGCCTTGCAATTCCATAACTGTAATCTCAGGTTTGCTTCTGCAAGCCAATTCTGCAGTCAAACAGCCCAAATGCCCTGTGGTGCGCCACTGATACAGGGAAAAACGCGGTAAAATGGGTAAAACATGTTAAAACGGGTACTCACACGATATGTGCCAGGTCGAGGGGCTTCTCGGGCTGCTCGGGGAAGACGGGCCGCGGCGGGTCCCTGCTGGGCACGCAGCCCAGGGACTTGCTGATCGCGTGGCTCAGCTTCTTGGCCGGCGACTTCTGTGCGGAAAGAGCGAAGAAAATGAGCTCCCCGTTAGGAAGAGGGCCCCGTGCAGCCACGTAGCAAGTGCTCCGCACCAGGGGATGCAGAGACTGCGTTTGAAGCATTGCCAAGCCTAAGAAATTAGCAGGGGCTAAACCAAGCCCGCTGCAGCGGTGCATGTGTGCGTGTGTGTGTGCGTGTGCATGCAGCCCGGCATCCTGAAAGTGGAAGCAGTTCAATGCAAATACATAACTCAAGACACAAAGCGTTTGTCTGGTCGTTCTGCCAGGATTTACACCAAGAGACAGGAAYTCCCAAAGAGGGATTTCTGGAGAGCACGGGCTTTGTAATTTGAAGCAAGGACCAAAGGGAAGAAAAAGGATCCTCTCCATAAGGGGGTAGATACAGTGTCTGCCCAGATGTACCATTTGCACCGATTAGAAATCACTGAGAYGGGAGCTGTGTCCTCCTGCATCCTTTGCAAGGGCAGCTGCTTCCAAAAACACATTTTATTTTGCATTTTCTCTGCTCATGGTGGACCAAGCCAAGGAGAAGRGCAGCGTTAAGGAGAGGAGCAGCATCACGGAGAACAGCAGCGTCAAGGAGAACGTGACCGACGGGTTTATGTCCCTTCCCACACAGGAGAGCGATGCCAAACACCAGAGCTGGCAACAAGGGSTCTGAATCATCAGGTTGAAACGTGTTTTATGGCCAACGGTGACTTGCAGAAACCAGGGCAAGAGATGCTCGACCAGCCCCCAGGGACGGGGCAGCCACCCAGCGCTCCAGGGAGAGCTCCAAAATAACCTGGCAGCTCTATCAAGAACCTGGCTTTTCTGCTCCTTTCAAGCCCCTTTTTTCCACTAGCAATCCACAAATCTACCAGCTGGATTATTCACAGCGATGCTATTTCTGATACTCCATTTTTCTCCTGCAAGACATTTCCAAGTTGAATTAGGACCAACTCTCAAGGCACACATTCAAATTAGCATTGACTTAAATAAGAAGCAAGGCTATGGAGATTAGCAGTTAGATAGAAGCTTGGTAGAGTGAATATAAATTAGTAGCTAATAATTACCAGCTGTTTAATTAATTACCAAGGACGACCTTTCGTCAAGTTGCCTCTGCAATAAAGACACGTTTGCAAGGCGAACCAACACACGGGGGGACTGATCCCTCTGGGATTTCACCTGGTTTTAGCAGACTGGGTTGCATTTCCAGTATAAAGTCCTCCTTTCAGGCTGTCGCTTTCTTTTCCTTCTACCCTGTTTGTCACTTAGTTTCTGCACAGACCATCTACTCTCTTGGTGCCTTTGCTGTGTCCTACCTCTTCACTGCAGTATTTCTAGACCATCTTAAAGGCGTTTTTTCCACTGTGGTACCCACCGGCACGTCCAGTTGTGCTGCCCCATGATTTAGTTTGTCAAGTAAATGCAATATGGCCTGGAAATGCTGCAATGGAGCCACTCCAGCAGCCCCAGCAGCTTCACTTCCAGAAAATTACAGGGAAAAGATCATTTCCATCACTCCTGAGACTTGGGTAGACCCTGTGCTGATTCACATCCCTTATGGGCATCCAGACTCCCCAGGAAATAAATATTTTTTCTTACAATTAGCAGTGCCCAACCTTAGAAAAAGCTCATTAAAASATACGTATTTCATCATCGTCTGCCTTCGAGCCACCTCTGCCTCTTGGAAGTGCAATTGCTGAACAGGAATCTCATTATTTAAAAGGGGAGCCTTTCTAAATTAACGGGATTTACTTTTTAATTAAGCATTTTTAAAGAAATATTACAATAATTTAAACACCTCTGAAGAAGGTGTGAGCAGAGATTTGACCTACAGGCCTGGAACGACCCTCCCCAACACAGGCTCAGGCASCAGGCATTATCACTGCTATGCACACTTGAGCACTAGCTGAAGAATGCGCTTTGCTCCCTCAACGGTCCGTGCAATCCTATTTATATTATGATTATAAATCCTACCTATTATGAAATTCTACCTATTTAGAGGTTTTCATGGAGTTTGCTTACGTTTTTCATAATCACCACAACGTACAAAAATGATGTGAGAAAATAACTTCTTTGGATAATGGGTGCTGAAGGCAGGGCTTTGCCCAGCTCGCTACGGGCTCAGAGCAGAGCAGCATCTCAGACCTTCCCAAATCCCTGGAAAAGCAAGTCTTGAAGGACACTAAACACTCAGTTACGTGCCAGGAAATTGGAATGATAATAAGATAAAAGCTAATCTCCATTTTCTTCCAGCAGTTTGCCAGAACACAGGCCCTGCTGCCYTGCTGGATGACCAGATTCCCAGAGATCTCACTGATTTCTTAAAGCATCATCATCATCATCATCATCCTCACCACCACCATGTGCCTTGCTGTGGATTTCAAAGGGCAGGCAGCTCCAAATTCCTGCTGATTCTGCCCAGACAGGAGGGCACAGGTACCACAAAAGGCATGTTACACAAGGCAGGAAAGTCTTCTACACCAAAACTAGACGAATAAAGACAGAATTACGTGAGGTCTCTCTCATCTAACAGTTATATTCAAATATATTCAAAATATATATCAAATTAATACTTAAAATAACATCAGAATATTTTTCGAGAGTGTGCCCGTATTATCACCGTTGCTTATTTTAATTGCACTTTGCTAAGAGCTTATGATTAATAACCATATGAATATAATTTGGTATTATTTTTGTTCAAAACACTTTCTTATAAAGTAGATTAAGATGTGAGAATATGAAGACATGGGAGGGTAAGTATTTCTAGAGATGAGGACAACCTCTTAGATTTAATATGAAATATGTCTCCTGGGAAATGTCCTAAAAAGTCAAGCCTTCAGCCAAGAAAATGTATTACCATTGAGTAAAGGGGTACGTAAAACCTTCTATAAAGTTCATTTCGCCTGCCCTCCTAGATGATGTAGCAGCCGCCAGCAAAACCATTCCCAGGCTGCAATGGAATTACAGAATCGTTATGGTTGGAAAAGACCTTCAAGATCATAGAGTCCAATTGTAGATTAATCTATAGACATGGATTAACTCACAGCTTGAGGCTTCCTGGAATGAAGTGAGGCTCACCACAGTGAGTCTTAGAAGAAAGCACGTGAGAAAATTGTAATTTGTGTCSGAGCATACACGAAGAGGAAGCAATATTGGCCAAAGCATTGTTATTATCCCTGAAACGGGTCATTCAACATTTCTGAACAGCTTATTAAGAATGAAACACCCCAAAAGTTAGTACTGAGAAAAAAAAAAGGGATGGCCGACTTGTAGATTTTAATACCAGAATGGAGACAATCCATCTTATTTGATGTGCTGCAAAAAGAGGTCAGAGGACTTCAGAGGAAATATCTACACAATGAGATAACACTACTGTTTAGATATGCTTTGGCATCAAAAAGTCCAGACTAGATGAATGCACTTCTGAGAGTGATAATATAGATTTAGATATTTAGATTGGAAGTCCCAAAAGTTTATTCCCTATGCTATGAAAAAAGGAACAAAAATTTACTCTGGATTCTCCTGCCTTCTGCTTCCAAACACTGGGCTGTATTAAGACACTGTTTTCTAAATTCAAGCCTCACGCTATAAGAATTTATCTTCATAGAGATAATTCCTATTTTTAATCCAAAAACATTTTTTTTTCTTTAAATATGTATAAGATTGGGCTTAACCCTTTTTGCCATAGAGCAAGTTTTCAAATCCGTATTTGTCTATTTCTTCAGATGTGAATATTGTTATTTACTTAAATGATATTTTCCATATAACCCAGTTAAGATTATTCAGTGAAGGCTCCGTGTTACCCCCACACACATTTACAGTTCTCCAGATGACAACAGCATGTTGTTCTTTTAAAGAAATGCCCGATTTAGCTTTCTGTGCAGAAAATCTGCAAGCTTTGTGTCTTGTTGGGCTAGATGAGAAGACATGGAAGCAGCTGGACTGGTGGAGACCGGAGGAAAACCCATGGCTTGGGGTTTTGAAAGGAACTGTGTGTGCTTTGTACGGCACCGAATACTACGAAAACCATCAACAACTCAACAATATTAATTAAATTAAAAAAAAAATATATATATAAGCATACTTTTAAAGCCTCTAAAGGTTCTGGCAGCTTGGAGGCTATTGCAAAGCCCTCTTTAAGCTGCAGAATAAGGTGGTAGAGAGGGTGTTTTCAGGAAAAGGAGTTACCCAGGAGGAGTGCTCCTTCATCTGGTGCTGGTTGCTGTGCGGGCCGCTGGCGTGGCCGCGCCAGAAGCACGTCTGGCACAGCTGGTAGTTGTGGCACTGCTGGCACCGGTACCTGAAGCCCATCATGCTCTCGCAGCGGCAGTAGGAACATTCCACGGGGTGGAAGACTTGGAAGGGAAGGAGGGAAACAGAGAAAAGTCAGAAGCGAATCCTAAGGATAACATCAACCATCCAATTTCATTAGAGCTTCTCAAAACAAACAATAAAAAAACCCACGTTCTGAGCCAAAACTCATTATTCTGGGGAGATTGTGCTTTCTGAGTGCAGAGCAGGTCATTCTGGCAACAGCAACCATAAATCTAAGATGATGACAACACATTGGTTCCATYTGATAACTTTTTTGCTCTTATGAGTGGGCTCCCTCTTCAGACCCAGACAGACCCAGACGTGGTCTCCATGCTAGTTCACCCAAGGGGAGCGCAGAGCAGGACAGGGGTGTCCCCGAAGGAGAACTCATGTCCCCCTAAACAGGGCGCTTGCCCCTGCCTTTGATTTGCCCAAAAGGCCAATTCAGACCAGGAAAACGGGGTTCCTGCTCCAAAGGACCTCTCGGTGTGGGATCTCCCTTGCTCCGCGCTGCCTGCAAGGGGAGCTCTGTCTCTTGTACCTCTACAGCTTAAACTGAAGATATCCCCAACATTTCGTAACGTTTTGAACACCTAAAAAATAAACTAGATATAATATGCAGGTCACAAACAGGCTAAGCACAGCTCATTGCAGACAAGTAATGTGTTTGGAGAAGATCCCGGGAAAAGGAGCACAGTAGCCATCAGTCAAGGGAAAAAACGATTCTATGACAAAAGTGGTGATTTAGCCATTCTACGAGAGACTCAGAGCAATTCTTTCGAGCACARTGAAGCTAATGTAGAGACATGTAACTTCTAGAGGATGGTTTGACCTGTTCGCGTAGAAGTGTCTTCTGTCTCAAGACTGGATACATAAGCACGAAGGGTCACAATGGAGGGAAAAAACTGTTGAAAATACTTGGGTGACAATTAGAGAAGAGAGGTTGAGCAAGACCCTGCTCAGGTACGTGATGTATAATTACCTCGGGAGGATCAGGGGATGGGTTATGTAAGCATGCGGCACCATTTGAGGCAAAGGACCTGGCCGTGATGGATTTCAATGGACAGATGTCCACGGGGAATGGACTATAGCAGAACCGTGATGAGGCTTTGATCCAAAAGGGAGCAAAAGCAACGAAAAGAGAGACGTCTGGATTTGCTCAAGCAGTATAAAATAACTAGAGGAAAGAGAAGATCAAAGATGATTAAATGGCAACAGAATTGGTGAAATTTAGAAGATGGAGGAGAGAGGATTCCCATAGSGCTTCCCTGCAGCTGGCTTCAACGAGCTCATGAGAACGAGCAGGTAAGGTCCAAGGAGAAGCAGCACAGCAAGAAAAGAAACTTTGGAGAATTGCCAGTTCCTCAAAGAAATCATACAAAACAACACCACCACCCACCCCACCAAGCATAAACAACCTCAGGGCTGAGAAAAGAGGATAATGTGGTAAAACGGCAATCTGGCTAAAATCATGACCTCTTCAATAAACTAGAATCCAAAAGCACACAGATGTGAAACTTGGCCCAAGTTGTTACTGCAGGTTACATGAAACAGGCAAATGCACCAAATCAGAAGAAACGAATGAGACAAGACTAGCAATAGATTTAAAGAAGAAACTACAAAAATTGTGAGCAGGATTCCTTACAGGAGGTGAAATTCGAGATTTGTGACTCCACTAAGACACACGGAAGGGAGGGAGGCAGCCTGGCTAGAAGGGAGAGCGCAGCGACGTGAGAGGCACTTACAAAAACAACACTGCATCTCCAGGGGCAGTGGGCAAAAACGGGTGCCTAGGGGCTTAAACTGCAATAAGAAAAAGGTTTACGCTAGCACACGAGCAAAAAAATTCTCACTCTATGAATATTTTAACACTGATTCCACCCCAAATTCCTGTCCAGGGAGGTTTGGTAACTTTTGAAGTTTTTCAAGAAGATGATGCTGGGCAAATCTTTCCAGAATATTTCCATATATTTCAGTTTGCCTTGGGAAAGGGGGAAGAATTAAGYCCAAGCTTTATTTGTACTGCACCCTGACCCCCTAAATAGCCTTCGTGCCAGTGGGCATTACTGGTACACTGCCCTACAAACCACTCATCTTGCCCTCTTTCCAAAAACGTCTGCCTGACCGCTCCGATGTGGGGAATTTAGCAGAGATTCTTACTGGTGAAATGGGGAGCAAGTCCTTGAAGCAAAGAATAAAAGAACCRAAACTGATATATACTGATATGTTTGACTTAAGGAAAGCAATAATACTGATATTAATAGATAAAGCAAACATATAATGCTGACAGCACACTGTAGGCAATGCAAAAAAAAAGCACACTTTAAAAATGACTGCTAAAAAGACACTGGAAGAGTCAATATGAAAGTTTATTAGGCCACRGGCAAGCTAAATGGCCACCAGGGTAGAAACAAGGAGGGAATTTTTGTATTTGTTCATAAAATTGCCAAGGCTTAGCCACTGATAGGATACAGATGTGTGAAGTGGAGCTGCATGTYTGCTCTCAGTACGAGCCTGTCGTCTTCTCCTTCCCAGGGTGCCGGTCTCATCAAATGTGGGTGTTACCCCTTTCCCTTTCTGCTCATCTCCAGACAGATAAAATAGGTGTTTCAGCTCACCTTAGTGAGCTGTTAATTATTATTACTCTTTTAATCTTCTCTTCTGAAGTTTTCTCTTTGCCCAATGCCCTTGGCCATAGGTGGCAGGGGGACTTGTAGGCTTCTCTGCTCTTCTCACTGCTTCCACAGTCCTTGGGCTTTCCCTTTGCTGGCCGCAGGTCCTCCAGGTTCAAACTTCCCCTCGGATGCCTCTGGAGACACAACCTGCTCCTTCCTCTCCTCCCTCCTGCCAGAGGACCAGGTCTCTATGGGAAGCCCTGCAAGAGCAGGGACAGCAGCAGTGAGAGAACCTGGCCCTTCTCCTGACTCCTGGCCACATATCCTCTTACTGTCACTAACCTTTAACTCTCACCTTTGGCCTTATCAGTGCTTGTGCCCTCAGCATTCAAATGTCCTCTCCTGTTAATCCCATTTCTTTGATGGGGACGCGTTAGAGGCTCCCAAATGTCAGCTGGAAGAAGGGGATAGGAGCCTCTTCCTCTCCCTCTAGCTGGAGGATRCTTCTCATTCGCCCTCCTCCACCAACCCATCTCATTCGGAGATCTTCTTATGCCACCTTGTGCTTTGCCTCAGGCTCTGCACACACTTGGCATTCTGTCTGTCTCTTGCAGGGGGAGAGCTGTCCCCCAGCTCTCCCACCTAAACATAAAGCAAGACTTAGGCTCTTGGATATTAGAGGCAAATGTGACGGTATTTTCTTCTCTACCTCCCACTCTTTTCCACCACAGGGCTTCCTGAAGGTGCTATCTCCTCCTCTCGCCCATCGCCTCCGTTCTGACCCCTCCAAACCCTCTTCCTCTCGTGCTCCGCAGAGCCCCTCCAGCCAAAGCCCCTGGTTACTCCTTCCCGGCCACCACCAGTTCTTAAACTGGCCCCATATCTGATTTTCCTCCGTTTCCTGGAGTCGCCACATACTGTCCTGGCTCTGGGCATCATCTTACCTGCACCTGGATGCCAAAGCCAGGCTTCTTATCCTGAGCAAAGCCAGGCTTCTTATCCTGAGCAAAGGCTTTCACGGATGTGTGGGGGAAGAAGGGATAAAATTAGGGCTTCCAAAACATGACAGTGATGTGCACGATAGATTATTAAAGCAAAACAATGAAAACAGAAATAGAGGAAAATTACAAACCTGTGTTTTGGTTATGTGGTTTAAAATGACCCTAATTTTTAAGCTATCTCAGCCAGTCAAGTGAGCATTAGACAAGAGGCCATGCAATATTTTGGTACAGATACCTTTCGTGGAAGATTTGGAAGAATAAACGTTTGAAACTCTAGCTAAGATACTGCTCATACTGGAAGAGAAATATATTGGAGAACTTGCCGTGACTGCAACTGCAAACCTTTATTTAAGCATGCCTCTTCAAATGCCTCTTCTGCATGTGCTACTAACAGCTACATCTGTTAAGAAGGCAGGACTTGCTCTTTTGGAAAGCAAGTCCTTTGCTATAACTTTGCTATATAAAATGCATGCAATAAACATGCATGCATGCCAAGCTCCAGGTTTTACTTATTTTTTTTCCATGGAGACTGCTCAAGCCACTGGAAAGAGGACTTTAGTATCCTTGCCTAGATGACTGACAGAGAGAAACTTGCTTAGGTGACAAGTTAGAGCAGGAACCTCTATCTTTCGGTTGACTAAATAAGGAACCTGTCCTCCTTGGTCTAAATTAACAGTTGAGACTGTTAATTTGGTCTAAATTAACAGTTTGAGAATACCCTCAAGCCCCCTTCGCTCCTGCTGCTGTAACTGGAGAGCCCCACAGCGAGCATTAAGGGCAGATTTTCTGGCTGGAATTCCCAGGACATATCAGATGCATAAAAGCTAATAAAAAAAACCCCCCATCTTCCCAAGATACTTGCTGACAATTAACCAGGCACACACTAAAACACATCCTTTTTTATGGATGGGAGAAGAAATGCAGATGAAGAGGGGAAATGACACTGTAAGGTCTGGAGGGGTTGTGCCCCTTCCCTCCAAATGATGAGTCTTAAATTCTAGCAAAAACTAGTTGGGAAAAAACCTTAAGTCTGTATGTGAATTATGAGAGCAATGATAAAAACTCCAAATGCTATGGAGATTTATTGCTTTATGCTCCTTGGCTCAGCACGAGTCACTCGCTAGCGCACCASGACAGCAAGGATGGAAATATCGACCGAGAAGCTGATTCCATCACCCTAAATGTGCTCCAAGGGTTTGTTCCCAGGAGGATGTGTGGTGGACACTGCTGCGTGAGGGATCCTCTCTTAGAGAAGCCTCCGTTTCCTTCACAATAACGATGCCTCCAGCACAGCCTGCATCTTCCCTTGGCTCTCGTCAAAGCAGCCACCGGAGCCTCGAAGGAGCCTACCGCTGATGGGCCGAGGAGCAGCCTCAAGGGCAGGATGCTCTTCCTTAATGACGACCTGCAACTCAGGCAGCAAAG